TTGCCATCCCTACCCATAGCTGTCAAAAGTTGTCCACCAAATGGACTTTTTAAAAAACAGCCATCTAATCCAATTATTCGTCGACAACCAGCTAGAAACCCATTCTTCATTGCACTTAAACTCCAGTACATTCTTTCAAATATCCCAACCTCGTTCTCATCCAGTCTAGTCACTTGCAGGACAATATGGCTACCAGGATTCCGGATCAACAAGGTAGCAGCATAATCTCTGATGACATTATACTGTTTTATATCATCCCCTTGTAGTGCCTCTCTTGCCAATCTTTTAGCTCTATAAGCCTGTCTCATGCTTATGTCCACCATAATCTCTCTCCTCACAGTCTTGACAAATCCTTCAATAGAAGAACTTGGTTCATCTCTGAACCTGTCTAAATATTTTTTGCTCAAATATCTTGCATTTGCATGATGATTGCTGTATTCTCTTCCACACACATGCACTCCCTTTATTGATTTGATCTGAAAGGTGCTTTCATTTTGAATTGGGCTTGCCCGTATTTTCCAAGAACAACCCTTTTTGCACATGGCAATAACTTTTGCTCTTTCATTTTTTTTGTACTTCATGGTGTAGCCTTCCCTGACATTCCATTCCACAAGTGCTTCTCTAAAGGCCCGTAAGTTCTTAAATTTATCCCCAACTTTCAACTCAAAATCTGACTTTCTGAATTCAACTGCAGCATTAAAATCTCGACAACTATTACCTTTCCCATTTCTTTCATCATCTCCCCACATAGTGTCAAGCAGTTCTTCATCATCAATAGCAAATTCATTCCACTCTTCATTAGTTTTAGAACTCTCCCATTCTTCAAATTTGTTCTTAAAAGAGCCTGGTGTTTGCAGATCCTCCATTATATATGTCTGGTTTGCTGTTGTTGGTTCTTCATCTGTGCCTTTTGCCTGCTGCTGATTTTCTATTTCATTAGCCTTTGCTCTGTTTGCAAAAATATCCTCATCTTCTGGTCCTTCTAATCCCTCTTTCAACCACTCAGGCTCTTCTAAACTATCAGATGTAGCATCACCGTACTCATCTTCATTTTCAGGCTGTTTTTCAACTTCATCTTGCTTTTCTACAGCTTTTTCACCTTTTTCCTTTGCTGAATTAGACTCTGCTTTGCTGTGCTTTTTGTTTCCAGTTAGTTTGGTCTGTCTTCTCACTGACTTCTTGACTATCTGTTTCCCCTTTTTGCTTGCTAACTTTTTTGGGGTATCTTTATCAGATGCCACATTTTGTGCTCCACTATGTGGGGCATCAGTGGGGGCACTTTTACCATGACTTTTTACTCCAACTGAAGCAATTTCACTAGGCATTTCATCACGCAATTCAGCATATATGTTGATAACATCTACTCCTTCATGTGCAGTTAACATTAACTCTATTTATTTATCTCCTTTAATTTCAGCTGCTCCAACATACAACCCACAATTTGGTATTTCAAAATATAGGTTCACATTCGAGGCATCACCATACCTACTATACAATTTACACAACATATCCCTGGATAATTTTCTTGTCTCACAATTTTTAAATATGGCTACATTGTTACCAGTATAGACAGTTTCTGGTTCCCATATGAATATACCACCGAAATGCAATTTTATAGTAATTCTTTTTGAAGTTGTCATTTTTTTCAAAGCCTGCATTAGAAATAGTGAAACACATGATAAGAAAAAAAAACACAATCTGATTAAGAAAAGGACATTTAATAGATTACACACTTCAATGAAAACACATGATTACAAAAAAATACAATCTGATTAAGAAAAGGACATATTGCATATCGCATACTTCCATGGACCACATGACGGCCAATAAGCCGACAAGCAAAAATTATTCAATGTCCAAATTGTCAAAACTTTATCAGCAGCCAAATCACTCTATATTATTGAAAATCAAGCCACCCACATTTGACCCAAATCTGACACTAATCAACAAATCTCAAACTAACAAAGTCGTATTCTACCCATGTTTAGTTGAAATTCCGGTGATTTTAGAACTCCCGAATGCAATTTTCTTTACCCTAATCTTAATGCATAAATTCAATTCTAGTCGATAAAATACTCTATGCTTAAATATGATAATACAGATTGTCCCAAAGCAGCAAAATTTTAAATTAATCAACGCTTAAGCAAAATAATCACTGATTTATTAACTTTCCAATGCCCGCTAGTTTCTGTTCAAAAACCATGCAAGTGCATCTTATATGCTAAAATGATGTCAAAAAACTTACCAGATGCAACAACAGCTTTCGTGATGCTCTTTCACAGCTACTTTTTGGTCTTCAATGGTAGATCTTTGTGGGTTAAATTTCTCTCCTTCATTCGGTGGTCATGTTTTTCTCTCCTTTTCTCACGACAAAGACAGAACAAGGAAGAATCTGACTCATCTGCTTCCTTTTTGTATTTATATTAGGGTAATTTGGACATTTTGCCTACGAATCGTTACGGTGGGTGCTTTTCGTCTATTTGCCAGTTCAACCCAAATCACAGGGGGTTTATGTATAGCTTTTTGAACGATGGGGGGTTATGTGGTTTTTGCGAAAACCACAAGGGGTTAAAATGTAATTTGCCCTAATTTTTTTTACAAAAACAAAAAAAAAAAAAATTTCGTTTCCTGTAAACATATTTTTCAATCATTTTTTTAAAATCTTGCATACATCAAATTGTTATAATATTTTTTTAAAAAAAATTCGTAAAAATAACAATCCAGATGGGCTTTCAAACCCTAGAATGGCGTCTCTATTAGAAAAAATAAACTAAAAAGAAATCTTTATTTGCAAATTTGCTGCTGGCTCAATTGAAACGTGGTACCATTAGAAAAGAAATCACAGTTCGTTTCATGTATGCACATGTCGTGTTGCTTCCGTTTAAAGAAAGTACAGTCAATTTGAAAGAGCTGTCTAATTTGTCCAGAACGCACTTCAGCCTGTTTCCTTCTCAAGTTGATATGATACAAAATTTTAATGGTTAAAAATCATTAAGAAAACATAAAATAGAAAGATTCCGCCCTTGTTATTTTTGTGAAAATTATAACAGATGCCGCCGATATGAAGGCGCCTGTGTTTGGCGGCATTAATCAATTTGAATGGGGCATACACATGAAGGTGGCAAGAACATGCATGTACATTTTCTATAGGCGTCATATACCATACATAGCAATTAGCAAGCAATCATCATGTTACTTAAATCGTTTATGTCAGGTAGCGAAACTAATCTCGTGATCCGCCGATTTAATCATTGGCCGGGCTTACTTGCTCGTGAAACATAACATCGCCTGACGGGACTGCTCTGGCCTCAATTCTCCAATGAAATTAAGCCAGATACCGGCCATACTTAACCAAACTTGTCGAGCTCAATCTAAAGTCTTGTCTGTGAATAACAGCCATGTAACCTAACCCATATAGGATGTGGGAGTGTCACCTTAAGGGCCAAAAACATGAATGTGGATAATTACGGGGTGCCCAAAAATTCTGATTAATTTGTCGCGCGCCATGGAAGAACACCAGTTTGGAACTTCCGTCAGTTTCTCCGTTCCGGTTACCACATTTAACAGTTGAGATGTAATTAGCGTACATACTGCATAACCGGAAATCGGTTGCTTTCTGAAAAAGTTTACTCCATGCATGGAATGGCTTATCCAATTTGCTTCAATCAGATATGGCACCAATGACGACTGGCCTCGCCTTGTGATTGTATGGTTGACGATATATTATATACCACTCCCTTTTGTCAAAACACTACACATGTACATACACACTGTGTGTATATATATATATCCCATCCCATGGACATGGACTTACCGTTGCAAGGTCGCATCCCAAGAAGATTCATCTGAAAGCCGCCCACCAAGGGATAATTATGGCGACAGAAGAGGTATAGAAGCTAAAACAGATCAGAGTTAATCTCTCAATGGAGAAGGTACTGGTCCATGTTTGCTCCACTAGAGTCTGGAGAACCAGCGAGCTCAAGAAATTTTGTGTCTATCTAAGGCTATTCTGCTTAATTTTTTTCAGATAAATCTTCTGTCACACATTTTAATTCTTCATAAATATCATATTTTAATTCTTTTTTATTCACAGTCGAATAACTATTAATACAGTAAAAAATTAAATACAACAATCTCAAAAAATAATATATAATAGAAAATCACAAAATAAAGGACAACATTCACAAAAAATCTCATTTAATTTTGTGTATTTTGATTTTTTGAGTCCGTTAAATTTTGCATATTACTCATTTAATAGTTATTGAAATTTAAGGAAACAAAAAAGAATTAAAATATAATGTTTATGAAGGAAAAATAGCAATATAATAAAAAGTAGATCATACAACGGAGCAGAAAGTGGGATTTTAAAAGATTCGTTGCACCAAATAATCGTACAAATAAATTAACTTACCCAGATTCAAATCTTGAATGTATGACTTAGAATCAATTAACTTGCCATAATTCAGAATTTACTTGTATAACATGGTACAAGATTAGTTTTTTGAGAACTTCAGAAAGGGATTCTGTTTTCTGAATCACATATTAATAGTTTGTATCCTTTGCACTTAGATACTTTTTTTTTTTTTTTGGGTCCTCATTTTTATGAATTGAATAACTTCAGAAAATTTGCATTGTTGTGGGGAGCAAGACCAAACCCAGCCATTATGAAGTCATATGATTCGACAACACTAGCTGGAAAGAGGCAAAATGGCGTTAGTTGCAGTTTCTCAAAGGGAAAAATAATTCAGTAAACACCCATAAACATGACAACATGCTCCCATGAGTCGCCGCGCTGCCGAGCCCAATATTATACCCATCGAGTGGGTACAAATGAAAGAATATGAGCACGTGTTGGAATGTGTACAAACTATATATTGCATTAGCTTAGCTTATATATAGTCTTATATACTGTTTGGTTGGATGGTGCAGAAGGATGCGTCATCAAACTGACTTTTTCCTTTAGCCCATGCGTTATCCCTGCTCTCACCTTTCTTTTTTTTTTTTTTTTTTTGCAGATATAATTTTGTTTCCTACCTAAAGATAATGAAGAACAGTGAAACCTGGTTTTGCATTTCCTTGTTCAACTGTTGGTTCATTATATATGTAACTCTTTCAAAATAATAAATATTGGTCTCTTTCCCCTTAGTCCATGCTAGCTACTCTTATTGGCCTTCCATTGCCCGCACCCTCTTTATCTTCATAAAAAAATCACCCATCCATGGAGTCTGCCCAATTTTCATGCTTTATCGTGCCTAAGTTTCAAGCTTTCTGTTTCCTTGTCTTCTCTTTGGCGATGGCTTTTGTATTTCTTATCCTGAAGTATTTTGTTATGAGGCCAAGAGTTTGGTGCAAGTGTGTGATTTGCCAAGCTTATGTTAGCTCCAGTTGGTCAGTCAAATTCAAAAACTTGTGCGATTGGTACACTTATCTCCTCCAGGATTCGCCTTCTCAAACTATTCACGTGCACGTACTCGGCAACATAATCACTGCTAATCCCGAAAATGTTGAGTACATACTCAAAACCAGGTTTGAGAATTATCCCAAAGGCAAACCTTTTTCGACCATCCTAGGGGACTTTCTCGGCCGGGGCATATTTAACGTTGATGGTGACTTATGGAAATTCCAGAGGAAAATGGCCAGTCTTGAGCTGTGTCGAATCTCCATGAGATCTTACGCCTTCGATGTTGTCCAACACGAGATCGAAAATCGCCTTATTCCTCTTTTATCCTCCTTCGCAGCGGGTAAAGAAGATCGCGTTCTTGATTTTCAAGACGTTTTCCGCAGATTTTCATTCGATTGTATTTGCAGAGTATCGTTTGGGTTGGACCCCAGGTGTCTAGAAATATCCCTGCCTCTTTCAGAGTTTGCTGTCTGTTTTGACCTAGCATCCAGATTGTCGGCGGAAAGGGCCATGACCGCTGCACCAGTTACTTGGAAGGTCAAAAGGATGCTGAATATAGGCAGCGAGAAGGAACTCCGGAAAGCCATCCAGATGATCAACCTACTAGCTAAAGAAGTCATAAGGCAACGCCGAAAATTAGGTTTTTCCGAACACAAAGATCTTCTCTCTCGATTTATGGGCAGCGTCACTGATGAAACCTACTTAAGAGATATTATAATAAGCTTCCTCCTAGCAGGTCGCGACACAGTTGCCTCGACTTTGACAAGCTTCTTCTGGCTTGTGGCTAACCACCCGGAAGTCGAGGCTGCTATTCAACGGGAGGCTGATCGAGTCGTGGGGCCTAAAGAAAAGCTCACCAGCTTGGAACAACTAAGAGAGCTTCAGTATTTGCATGCTGCAATCTTTGAGAGTATGAGACTGTACCCACCCGTACAATTCGATTCAAAATTTTGCCTGGAGGATGACATCTTCCCTGATGGAACCGCTGTTAAGAAGGGAACACGAGTTACTTATCATCCTTACGCGATGGGGCGGATGGAAAATATCTGGGGTTCCGATTGCTTAGAATTCAAGCCCGAGAGGTGGTTGAGAGATGGCGTCTTCTTCCAAGAAAACCCTTTCAAGTATCCTGTGTTTCAAGCTGGACAAAGGGTCTGTCTGGGGAAAGATATGGCACTTGTGGAGCTCAAGAGTGTAGCAATTTCATTGCTGCGAGACTTTCACATCGTTTTAGCTGAAGCCCATCAAAGCCCGCGCTTCTCTCCTGGACTTACGGCCACTTTCCACGGTGGTTTGCCGGTATTGGTCCGAGGAAAGAAAAGCTCCGCCAGCACCGAGTCAACAGTAGCTCAATAAGAGTATCAAGCTCGGGTATTCTCTAGGTGCGCATCTCTCTATAACCCTAAACTTGTAAGTAATCTCCATTAAGATTTTATCTGCAGGTAGATGGTGGACTCAGGACAGCTAGATAGCTGTACGTACCGTGAATTTGTTGAGAAAACGAGATTCATCAAGCGTTGGCTGCCTTCGTCGGCTCCAAGTATGTATACTTGATTTTTTTTTTATCATGTACATCCATTGTGGGGATATGGCTGTTGTTTTTGTACTGTACTTTTTGTATTGGTATTTTGATGTTTCTAGTGTAGGATTAGCTCCTCAGTTTCTGTACCCCATGTCCCCTATATATATATATGTTTCCCGAAATTGTGGAGGACAAAATTGTACATTAATTGGTAGAACTCATTATTGTCATTTCGCAGTTCATAAAGCAATTGATTCCACCCTCAATACCTAACTTGTACCTCGCATGCTTTGTTTGCCCTGATATGCTGCTACTCTCTCTTTTCATTTTTTCATTTTTTTTTTAAAGTTCCAGCTACTTCATTACTTCCTTTCCTATTAGTTCGCACCGATCGATCACGAAAAGTTCTTACGATGCAATTGAACAGGTGGCGCTTGATTCAGACTGTATCATTTCTTATTGTTGCATCTCCTTCCCATTTAAATGGTTAACTTGGAAATTCTATTTGTAGCTATGCCTCGTAAGAAAAAGAAAGAAAATTTAAGTAGTGTTTGGATTGCATTTTCTGTCATTTTTCATGGAAAAATTACTGTAGCGATTTGATATATGTGAAGGAAAAATGTGATAGGGAAATGTGATCACGGAAAATGACAATATTTTCCGACGGAAACAAGCAATTCAAGCATGACCAGAATGCGGATGTTTTATGAGCTAGTGATTCAGAATTCTAGATTAGAAATGGATACCAAGTCTGAATTGTACTTTTTACTACGATGTAACTTGATTCTTGCATGTGTTTGATGGAGTCTAGTGAACGTCCAAGTTCCACTGTTTTCTTTTTTTTTTTTTTCTGGAAAAAGATGAAAGCTTTGCGGGCCAAGACGGATTTTTAGGCACAAAAAAATTAATTAATTATCACAATGTAAATTGAGAATGGCAAAATTACAGATATAGCTATAAATTGGAGTGTTACTGACAACTCTAAACCATTAATCACATTCTAATTTAGCTAATTATTGATCTCCACTATGATTGTCTAAGGTCTCAAATGTTAAAAATTAGCGCCTGTTATGATTCCTAACAAGTTAGTTGGCAAGATCATTTACCTAAAAGTTCTCTGAATCATCATCAAGCGTAGATGAAGAATCCCTATTGATTTTCTTTAAAATGAAGGGAAAAAAAAATGCCACTATGATCACTGAGAAAGAAAGAATTAAGGAACACAATATATATATATATATATATATATATATATATCAGAAAAGTATACTAGACTAACTGATTCTTTATTTACATGATCAGTAACACAATATCGACCTCAAACGTTCTTTTACAATATGATCTTTTAGTGCATTTGTTGTGTTACGTATCTCGTGCAACAACAACATGTGAGCTTTGAGCTTTTATGATTTTTGATATTAGCACACAAGCAAATCAACTTTATATTATGATCAACACAAAAATTAGAGTCCGTGCCCGACTGTGACGCTTTTAGATGGAAATACGTACTATTTTGTCTCCCCGCCCCCGGGGGGGGGGGGGGGGGTTGGTTGGTTTCAGAGCTCGACACTTTTTGGAAAGTTTACGGGCATATAAACAAGCCACGGACGAGTCTGAGGTTTCTCCTAGGCTTGCCCTGTCCCACCGGAGTGTATATGCGTGCCGCCACCACAAGGGATTCAGGCGGGTAGGAAGGATATAGAGGGCTTTTGAGTAACTCGATTGACTTGGCAATATTAGCCAATATAAAGTTCGACTTCGCTACCAGAGGATTTGGGAATAAAACCTGACAAAGCACAAACATTCGTTAATGGAGTTTTATGTGTTTGTTGAGTAAATATTGGTCGGTTCACAAGCAGTGTAGCTTTTGAACACAATACTTGTTCATGTGCTAACGATTAGAGCTGCGGCTTACATATAACGGGTGAATTCTTAGTTTACGATGGAAAAAAAAAAAGAATTCTACAACGAGGGCGGTTCTTGGAGTGTTTTCTACAAATGGGGGTCTTCGCATTCTGTGCGAGCTCAGTGAGGTCGCATTCTACGAATGCGAGGTCGCATTGGAGCTCGCATTTGCGGAATGCGAGCTCACTGAGTTTACAGGACACATCAAAATTGTCTTCTACATACAAACTAAATAATTATGCCTCCTCTATTGAATCTCTATCTCTACAATCGTGCCCTATGCTGTCTCTGATGAGTAGCGACTCAGCATCTTTACAGGAGATCCACTTATTAGACGGCCTTCAATCAATCTCCTCATCGCTTGATCACTCAGTTTTGCCCTTTCATCGATGTGATGAGTGCAAAATGTATGTACCAGATCGTGTACAAAATCTGCAAGTAACCTGCCTTTACAGTTAGAGATGTCAATTGTGAATAACCCTCTTCACTATCTGCTACACCTTGCCTCCATCAGATGAATTAGGAAGCTTTCTCTGGGCTTCAATATCTGTAGATGCAGTAGCTACAGAATTTGATCCTCTCGAGGGAGCTGAAGAAGGAGATGGAAGCCTTTTAGGTAGCATCTGTTTCCACATATCCTTTGGAAATCTTGATGCTTCTTATGAGATGAGAATCAAAGCAAGAAGAAGACTGAAGAGCATGAACTTATGCCTCCTACAAGAACCTGATATGATGAATACTTCAAGAAGAACTACAGAGTAGAGCTCGCATTTCGCGAATGCGAGCTCTATTCTAATCTCGCATTCGCGAAATGCGAGCTCAGAGGGAGCTGAAGAAGGAGATGGAAGCCTTTTAGGCAGCATCTGTTTCCACATATCCTTTGGAAATCTTGATGCTTCTGATGAGATGAGAATCAAAGCAAGAAGAAGACTGAAGAGCATGAACTTATGCCTCCTACAAGAACCTGACATGATGAATACTTCAAGAAGAACTACAGAGTAGAGCTCGCATTTCGCGAATACGAGCTCTATTCTAACATCGCATTCGTGAAATGCTCTAACCTCGCATCGCTCAGTACGGAATCCATTGCCAAAATCACCCATTTTGTAGAATTTTTTTAAAATTCATCACAAAATTAGAAATTTCTCTACATATAACTGTGCGGGCAAGTAGTTTCGCTGATTGTGCTTTTGAATAATTTCAAAAATCTCCCTTGAGATTTCTAACAATTTCACTGAATTTCTCTGAGGTTTTTAAAAATTACACCTACCTCCCTTGATTTGATAGTTTTAATAACAAAATCTTAAAATAATATTGACTTTATCAAATTTTTAAATGAATACCCAAAAAATGATATTGTGTAATGAATTTTAATTTATTTTCCTATACAATTATAAGATTATATTGTATAATTATAAGAAAAGCTACCAAATTTTTCATGTCCATATAGTACTATTTGATAAACAACTATAATAATCATATAAGCTGTAGTCATATATGTAGACTATATGTAAGTAGCCTATATAGATTATATGATAATCATATAAACTGTAGAACCACTAGTATAATCACTGCATTTCCTTTTGATTTACGGGAAATTATGAAATCTCTATATGATTACAAAACCACTACTTATTATTTGAAATGTCTATACGATTATAAAAGGTTAATTTCCTGATAGGTAGTTCTACAGTTTTATTGACAAAAATTTTTTTTTAAAAAAAGAAAAATAATAAAAAATAATTTTAAAAGTCATTCTAAATATAAACATACCAAACAAGGGAATTTCACTAAAATATTTAAAGGTAGTATTGTCATTTTAAATGACAAGAAAGGTATGTATAATTTTAAAAATTTCGAGAAAGCTAAATGAAATTGTTAAAAACGTCAAGGGAGGTTTCTGAAATTATCCCTTTGGCTAATTAATAATCATATGGACATTTCAACAGCAGAGATTGGTTCTGGCCCACAAACACCGATATTACCTAAATCAGCCTTGATCGTTTGATCTGCAATATCTCCCATTGTTACCAAACACAACATGCGCATCTCCCCTCTGTAGCTAACTTGTATAACTAACACCGATGGTCCGGGACCAAACCCGTAAATTAGACACGTGGAGTACAAATATATACAGTTGTAGCGGGGAGGTTTGGTACCAACCATAGTTATTAAATTCGGTCCAGTACTCAACTTAGAGAGGTGATTGAATCACTAAGTTACTGGTTCAGTCACGGGTTGTATATTAGTTATATTATAAATATAATAACATATTTTATATTATAAGAATAGTAAATTTTTTAAGTTGGTGTTTCAACTAATGGTTTGACTAGCGATTTTTTTGGTTCACCAGTTGAGCTCTCAAGTCTTTAACAGGTCAACGAATTTGTTGTTTAATTGATTTAATTAGCAATTCAATTCGATTCTATGGCTGATTCACTGATTGATCGGTTCGACCGTCGGATCGAGCCAAGTTTTATAACTATGATAGCAACTGGCACTAAATTAGCAAAGTGTCGATCTGCCTGGATTTGATAGCTCAAATATGACACATGTAAAGACGTGACGTGTTGTAGGAGAGGTTGTTGCTATTTTCTCTTTTCGCTTTCCTACCCTTCTTGTAATTCTGTAATGTTGGTGATAGTAAAATTTTATGTTGGTCCGAAGTAGGTATTGGACATTGTATAATAATTATTCTCGAATCAATCAAGGAGTTTCAACTGAATTTATTTATTTTTTTTACAGTGATAAACATTATAAGGGAATGGGGAGTCGACGGGATTTTTCCATCGAAAAAAACCACGAAGTGGCAAGGTGAAAAACCCTTGCCTCCCATTTTCACCAAGACTTTGGTGGTACCAACAGCCTCTTAGGCAGTTGGCATTTCATGTGGCTTCACTTGATTTAATTTCACATGTGAAGTAGACTAGCATAATATGTGAATTAATGAGTTTCATGTGGTCCTACTTTCTGGTGGAACGTTTAGTCGGGAATCGGCTCAATTTGAACTTTGAAGGCAATGACACTCTTGCTTCTAGCCAGGAAATTTTAATGTGTCCCACCCATAAGTGAAAGGCCTTTTCCTTCAACCACATGAGCTTTCAAAGATCTCATGCCCACATATTCATGGGCAAATGAGAACAGAAGGCAGCTGCTTGAGCTATAGTTTTTGCAATTAATTGATTGAGTCCGTACTAAACAAAAAAAAAATAAAAATTGGCCAGTGATTCTTCGAGTTTTTTGGCGCCTCCGTTTTCCATGACAGCCGACAGAATTGTCATGGCCCGATAGATATTGAAGAGCCGATGGATAGATAGCACCATAACTGGCGTACTAATTAAGTTTAATTTCATAGCCTGTC